GGTGTGTACCCTTTTCCTTTTTCTGGGGGGTGGGGTTGGGTTTGTCTGGCTGCCATGCCATAACCTTTTTCTTTTCAGCTTTTTCTGGATGAAGACAACAGGAAGGAAAACATTAAATTGCAATTAGTTGCACGGTTAAATTGTGACACTTGGTCTTTCCTTTTCCAGCCGCCGAGCTGCCCTTACGCCCTAACATGGCCTCTTGCCGTGACCTTTTTTCCAGCCGCTGAGCTGATCTATAGTTCTTTTCTATCTGTTTTGGCTTTTCATAAATATTGTAATAATGACAAGTTAAGTAGATATAATAGTCACTGTTCAGTCTAAAATATGGTAAACTTAGAATGTTATACACCATGTGTATGACAAAGTTTAGGAGTGTAGCAGCAGAATTTCTCCACTTTCAAATCTTTCTCTCTCTGTGTGTGTGTGTGTGGGGGGGGGGACCAGATGTTTTATCACAAGGTTAGCTTACTTTGAACTGTGAAGGATGTCTCATTTTGGCCACTGTGTCAAAGGACTGACGTCCAGTAATGGGTTCCGTGCCACTGTGGCGCTTCCTCTTGGCTAACCTACCTACCTGTCTCCTTTCCTATATTTCCCAGTGTGGCCATTAACCGTGCCACTGTGGCGCTTCCTCTTGGCTTCCATGCCTACCTGTCTCCTTTCCTATATTTCCCAGTGTGGCCATTAACTAATTTTAATTTATAGTTCACTGGCAGTTTTATAATTACAATTTTACAAATATATGTTGCGGTAGTTTTCTACACAATTCTGGACGTTGCGGTCGTTTTCTACAATTCTGGACGTTGCGGTCGTTTTCTACAATTCTGGACGTTGCGGTCGTTTTCTACAATTCTGGACGTTGCGGTCGTTTTCTACAATTCTGGACGTTGCGGTCGTTTTCTACAATTCTGGACGTTGCGGTCGTTTTCTACAATTCTGGACGTTGCGGTCGTTTTCTACAATTCTGGACGTTGCGAAATCTGAGGTCCTGTTTTTATGGACCATTGCCACAATTTTGGACATTGCGGTCATCTTCCAGAATCCTGATGGCCTGTATGCAGTCCTTCTTCACAAGTGGATGCCCTGGCAGTTGCTGTCATTTTCTATCCGAAGTGGCTACCAGAGTTCCAGCTTCATCAACCTACATGGATGTACACTACATGTCATGTAAATTTGCTTGACCCTGTAATTTTGTAAATGTATACATGTACATTTGCTTGACCCTGTAATTTTGTAAATGTATACATGTACATTTGCTTGACCCTGTAATTTTGTAAATGTATACATGTAAATTTGCTTGATGCTGTAATTTTGTAAATTTATACAGGTAAATTTGCTTGACTTTGTACTTTTGTAAATGTATACTGGTAAATGTTGTGCTTGAGTATGTATGTACTTTTGTAAATTTACATTTTATCACTGTACACTAATGTTATCACTTTCTGTGCTGTCAGTGTATGTGATGTCCACCTCTGGTGTTTAATGTTTGCATGATCCTTGGTGTGATCACCTTTATCTGCATGATGCATGATTTAATTTAACATTTAGTTTGTAGATGTTGGTTTTTCTTTTTTGTGTGCAATTTTTAACTTTACAAATCAGGTTTAAAATCACCAATTCTGCCAAACTGTGACACCATTTGATCATAAATGGTCTTTAACATCATTAAACAGTTTGGACTTTTAGAGCTGGCTTGTCTCCCTCTGCCAAGTTAATTTCTACTAAAGACTTGTTTGCCCTTCTGTGGTATTTAGATGACGTTGGGAGGCCTCCCAGCAGAGGAATAATGTCCTCTGCAAAGCGAAGCGTTTCACTGGATACATGCAGGGCTAAGTTGACAAATTTCTAAACATGTTTGTGTAATCTCGTAGGCATACAGGTTAGGTTGCGCGTTTAGGTTCTTTAGTAGAAACTATACTTGGCAAAGAGACAGCTTAAGACTAGTAATATTTATAACTTATTTTAAAAACTATTAAGATCTATGGGCTGAGGTGCAGAAAATAAAGGGACTGGGGTTCTACTGCTAATGGTTGCTCAATTTATGGTTTTGTTAAAGTATGTAGTTTAGTCTGAGTCTTAGTTAAACTGAAATGGAGGACCCTCAGTGTGATTACCTATGTACATGTGATTGGCAGGACACCTGAGAGATGATATTCACTTGTGTTAATTTAATTCACTGGTGTTCAATGATCAGTGTAGGTGGGTGGTGCAGGAAAAGGTGGTGTAGGCCTCACCAAGACTGTCCTGATTGACTGAATGTGGTAAGATCAGTCAGTTAAACAGGTAAGACTTCTTGCCCCTGATTGGTCGGTGTTGGATCCATGAAACCTCTGGAAATGTGGCCTCCTGGACCATAGGGTGAAAGTTAATTGGGTGAACCAACACCTTTGATCTTCTCAGCCACAGGATTTCTCCAGGTTTGTACTTCACATTGACCATTGTTAAATCTGTTCAAGTAAATCTCCAGACTGACTGACTGATCTGTGTTTCTAGGATTATTTGGACCAGAGTAGGCCAAGTATGGAGAAGATGGATCCTGGTTAAAGGGTTCTGAGGTGACTAGAAAGATTGAGTTATTGTGAGGTTTTCAATTTGACCAAATATTGAATGACATGAGCTGGAATCCAGGAAATTTTAGTTTTTATTATTTTTTCCTCTTGTCGGCAGACTCTGGACTGAAGCAAGACACATGTACAGGACTTATGTGAGAAGTAAACTCCCAATGAAGAGCACTGTTAAAAAAGACAGGTTTGTCCTTTTCAAGTGTTATTTGTTTATGATTTTATATTTTGCTTACACTCTTCTTGAATCCCATAGACCTGCAACTGCAAAACACGGAGAAGCTACATCCTGGTCTGGTCCAGTCACAACTGCAGTCAAGATAATCCAGACCTGCTTCCGTTCTACTGGCTTTGTTAAGGTTTGTACTAGAATATAGTCCTTTCCTGGTCAGTTTGTTGTTGTATAGAAAACTTACTTGACAAATTCTTGTTTAGGAATTGGCCCCCAAGGACCCAGGCTCACCACAGCTGATGGGAGTTTCCATTCTACTTTCTGCTCAGCTGTATAAATATATTTCTTTGTTTTTTCGTTTTTTTTTTTTTATAATGTTGACCATTTACAAATCAGCCTTTGCTCTCTGCCCACTGACTTAAACTACATGCTTGATCCCAGATTTAGTTTTGCTTTTGTTTACAATCAGTCAGAATTGAATGAGCTGGATTTCTTTAACACTTAAGAACAAGGTAAACAGAGTCGACTCGTATGGAAAGGTCTTTGTCCTTCCCCTTCTTCTTGGTGCTTAAAGAAATCTACTCATGAATTCTTGCTGAGTGCTGCACCATGGAAGCAGTTTCCAAAATCAGACATGGATCCATCTGATTTTGTGACCTGTTCCACTAATGGTGCAACATCATCCTTCAAAAAATGCTACCAACCAGTCAGTGTGAAGTCCTTTAAAACAGAATGAATGACAATTTGGTTTATGATTAAGTGGATGTAGTAATTTCATCAGTGCCTTGTTTGTTCTTTTTCTTTGGGTTGGAGGTCCATAGTAGTGATGTTTTCAGAGTTTTTCTGTTTTTTGTTGTTGTTTTTACTAATAACTTACTAATTTACCTTTTTATTGTTTGGGGGGCGAATCTCTGGGGCCAAAATATTTAAATATTTGCCTTGTTTGTGCATTTGCCACTATAAAGTTGTCAGTTGATAGATTTAAGTGAACTTTCAACTTATAGATTATCATGTTAAATTTAGACTGGTCAATTTTAGACCTGGCTTGTCTCCCTCTGCCAAGTTAATTTCTACTAAATACTTGTTTGCCCTTCTGTGGTATTTAGATGACATTGGGAGGCCTCCCAGCAGAGGAATAATGTCCTCTGCAAAGCGAAGCGTTTCACTGGATACATGCAGGGCGAAGTTGAAAAAATTTTCAAATATGCTGGTGTAATCTGGTAGGCATACAGGTTAGGTTGCGCGTTTAGGTTCTTTAGTAGAAACTATACTTGGCAAAGAGACAACCCAAGACTAGTAATGATTAAGTCCACAGTAGTCTTTTTGAGAAACTAGACAGAATCTCTGGGGCAACAACAGAGATTCCACCAGGCCCAGTGCACGGCTGGCCTGGTGGCTTTTTTTTATTGACTTGGGCAGGGACCTCAATTCTTTGTTTTTTTTTTTTTTTGTTTTGTTACACTTTTATTTAAAATATCAAATTATTATTGTATTTTTTTCCCTCTAACTCTGAAGTCCAAGAAATTCTATTAAGCTATTGGTGCTTCATCAAGCACCAATAGCTTTGTTAGTGATTTGTGATTTGAGCCCTGTCGGGGTTGGATGACAGAACCTTAAACCAAACCACCTATTCTATCATTGTTTCTACAGCTTGGATTAAAAAACAAATTGTGTAGCAAATGTGTTGGGATTAAAAAAAAAACAGTCCTGAAGTTTTCTGTTGTGTGCAGTTGATTTCTGCTTTATTTGTAACAAGTTAAAATTTAAAATGTTTCTCATTTGTTATAACACTCAAGTATGACTTTATATACCAAAACCGACCATCTTCCACAATGTTTTCTTAAGAAATGTTAATTGAGCAGTTGTTAATGTAGTGTGGTAATAAAGCATTTCAAGCTTAAAATATGACTTATTGCTTTTTAATCATCCTCCACTGAAAACACCAGCACAGATTAAAACACCACTGCTGTGAGCGCCCTGCGGGAGTTGGATCTGTGGGGGGCATCCCTTATTTTCATTTCTGAAAGGTGTCAATCCTAAATAGACTTCATTCTGCAATACTCATCCTGAAAGACTTTGCATTTCATTAAAACATGAAATATGTGGTTTATAATAACACTTATAAATAAATAGTTATTATAAGCTCCAACTGTGTAGCCCCATCCTGTACACACAGTTCATCCATATAAATAGATGGGGGTGGGGAGTATTTAAGTTCAAACTTATGTGAACTTAGAAATATATTTTCCAGGATTAAAATATTATTTAAGACTTAGTATTTTACATTTGTTAGCTGTATAATATACAGCTAACAAATGTTAAATAAGTGTATATCTTAAATTTTACATTTCACATTGTCTATAATGTGAAATGTAAAATTTAACATGTCAAGGCTAAACTAGTTTTCTCATAAGTAGAGACAACAACAAATAAACCTAAAATGAAAAAGGCAATGGTAATGAAAATTGGAAAAAAAGTACTAAATTTCTAGTATTTTCTTTTTTCTTTTACTTTTTGTTGAAGTTGGGTTAGCGTTGTTTCATCATTTTTCCGCCTTCGATTTCCGTTTTCGACTGTCGGACACATAATATTGTTACACACGGTGTCTTGGAAACATCCGCTGTGAGTTGCAAGATTATGAAATCGTGAATAACTACGCTGTTAAATGTTAACACCACAGCCGTACTGGTTGGATGGCCTATTTTGGACATCGACTGGGACTGCTGCACGTCTTTAGCGCAAATTTGTCCGTTTTTAGACTCTTCCGCTCGGCCGGGATGGACAGCATGGGTCTGGGCGTTAGTCGCTCGCCATTGGAGCGACTCGACTTCGATAACATAGCTCTCAAGAAACTTCCTCTGGACGAGTCTGAGGAACTAGGAGTACGACAGGTGAAAGGAGCATGTTTCTCACGGGTAAAGCCGCAGCCGCTGACCAAGCCTCGTTTCGTAGCCGTGTCTCACGAAGCCTTGGCGTTGTTGGGTCTCGATGGGGAAGAGGTAATGAACGACCCATTCGGACCGGAGTATTTGAGTGGGTCCAGATTGATGCCTGGGTCCGAGCCTGCCGCACACTGTTACTGTGGGCACCAGTTCGGTCAGTTTGCCGGACAGCTCGGTGACGGGGCGGCCTGTTATCTGGGGGAGGTGAAGGTGCCACCCGGCCAGGATCCTAAACTGCTTAAGGAAAACCCGAACGGTCGCTGGGAGATTCAGGTTAAAGGAGCAGGGATGACTCCTTATTCCAGGTATAGTTATTAGTGGCTGACTAGGGTTAACACTCAGGCAGTGTAAAGTGACTTACGATTAATCCAGGTTTCACATGAGGATAGGACTAAAGAGTAGTAGTGAGATTTGATATGACGTTAGTTTGAAGAAGTGGTGCCCAGTTATGGAAACATCACACATCACAGTGACTATTGTTTTAGTCAATATTGAAATAATGTTTCTTCAACACGATCCGTCATCATTGACTGGGCAAGCACACGTATTAATTTTAACAAATATGATATCCTCCTTCATAATGTCATTGTTGAACTTTCTCTCAAGATAATTTAAGATATAACATTCAAATATTGTGTAAACAAAGGTGATTAAAAAAATCAACCAATAGGCAGAATTACGAGCACTCTTCCACTTCATTTTTTCATATTTATAATTTTATCATTTGGAATCATTAGAATTTACATGTACCTGCTGTTATTTGACAATCTGTTACAGCAATTACAGACTTTTTTTTCATAGTCAGGAATGACAGTTTACTTACACTTAGTACACTTTTTAATCACTTAACAGCTCTTTTAATATATCAATCATTATAGCTTGCCTCCCCCCTCCCCTCCACAGACAGGCAGATGGACGTAAGGTCCTTCGATCAAGTATACGGGAGTTCCTGTGCAGCGAGGCCATGTTCTTTCTGGGCATTCCTACCACCAGAGCGGGATCAGTGGTGACCTCTGACAGTGAGGTCATGCGGGACGTCTACTACAGTGGGAAACCTCGCTTTGAGAAATGTTCTGTGGTACTCCGTGTTGCTCCCACTTTCCTAAGGTGAGTGTCCATTTATAGTGTGTATTTAAGAGCTCAGCTCATGAGATGAAAGTTTGTTTTTACTCACCTTGTCCTGTCCAGGTTTGGATCTTTCGAAATCTTCAAGAAGTCAGATGAGTTCACAGGCCGCCAGGGTCCCAGCTATGGGCTGGATGAGATCCGACGTCAGATGTTGGATTATGTCATTGAGATGTTTTACCCTGAGATTCAGCAGAATCACACAGACAGAGTGGAGAGGAACGTGGCCTTTTTTAGAGAGGTAGGAGCACCACTGATGATTTATTATTCACTATTCTCATCATCTTTGTTACAAATAATGACTCAAGTATTTGAGCAACCATGACACTGCTACATATTAATATTGTCAATACCACATAGGCTGGTTAAGGCTAAATGTACAATTAATACAATAGGTGGACAATAATATTCTGCTTAACTTTTCTACTTGTGCTAAGTCAAACTGTCCTTTCTACTCAATGAGTCAGATTAATGCACTCTCTAACTGTTCGCAGGTAATGCTTCGTACGGCTCGACTTGTAGCACAATGGCAGTCTGTGGGTTTCTGTCATGGAGTACTAAACACAGACAACATGAGTATCCTGGGACTCACACTGGACTATGGACCATATGGCTTCATGGACAGGTTAGATATTTGAAAAGAAAAACCTGTAATCTATTTATTGTGCCTTATTGGTGAAGTATTTTGATTTTGCATGGTCATCCATAACTGTGTAATTGATTCCATCTTTTTCAGATTTGATCCAGATTTCATTTGTAATGCTTCTGACAACTCCGGCCGTTACTCCTACCAGGCCCAGCCAGCTATCTGCAGGTGGAACCTGCTGAAGTTAGCAGAGGCTCTTGCCCCGGAACTACCACCAGACCGAGCTGAGGTTGTTATGGACGAGTACTTGGCTCTGTACAATGATTTCTACCTGCAGAACATGAGGAAAAAACTGGGCTTATTGAAGAAAGAGGAGCCTGAGGATGAAATGCTAATCACTGAGTTGCTGCAGACCATGCACAACACAGGTAGCACACGCACTACAAGTGATCCACATACATAGAGAATGTAAAACATGAGAAATAAAAATAACCTGTTGCAACTGTAACGTTTGTGTTAACTCCAGGTGCCGATTTTACCAACACATTTCGCAGCCTCAGTCAGATTTCCTGTCCTGCAAAAGAAGAGGAGGAGCTTGTTAGAGGAGCCACATCGCTCCTGCTGGAACAGTGTGCGTCACTGGAGGAGCTGAAGGCAGCAAACAGACCCACTATGGACCCACGGTGAGTAAAGATGAGGTGAACAACAACAGAACACACCACAACAGTGTTTTCAATTTATTGACCGGACTGACACAAACACTTCTTTTTCACGTTCTTTAGGATGTAACCTCTCAGAATTAAAGATCTTTTTGGGAAGTTGATTATAACTGAACAGCAGAGACCAAAATGATTCAGATATTTAAGCTTAGTTTACATTACCATGATGTAAATAATACGACTTTTGTAACAATTTTTAAGTTGCAATTGATGTATTTTAGATACTTTTCTAGGAGGAAAATTGAATTTTAACTTCTCAATACTGAAATGTGACATTAAACATATTTATAATGTGAAATAATTTTGTGACTTAATTAAAAATGAGACTAAATGTTCAGTGATGAATACATAAACATGTTTTTCCAAAGATGCAGCTTGTGTTTTATAAAATGTTAATTTTGTAAACATATATATATATATATGAAAAAATGTTTTTCAGACAAAGGTTGATCAATGATAAGCTATAAAATCTGAAAGTTATATACAAAACCTATGACTAATACATATGTATAGTGGGGGAGAAACTTGTTGATGATTGGTCAGTTTGTTTTATCTAGGTCTGAGAACGTCCCTGTGCCAAAAACCACACACAGAGACAGCATGCCACCTTGTGGCACACATTATCAAACACATATGTTGTATTTTAAATCAACAATTACATTGGCTAGAGTTACAACTTTACAACATTTATAAAAGAACCATTTTAGAACATTTTCCAGATCCATAATTGCCAATACAGAAATGCTTTGTTGATCTGCAGGGGAAGTAGCTGCATTAAAAAAAGCAGAACTTAAAATGAAAAAAAAAAACCAACAAAAGTAAATAACAAAAAATACTGTCCACTAGTTTAGAGATTGGTCTGGGTTATGAATAAATAACGGGAGCTAAATAAATAAAGATTCTGTCTCTGCGTGAACTTCAATTTGTTCTTGTTTCTTCTGTGTTTTAGAGTTATATTTAGTTTTCCTCACATTTCCTCTCTACTGTTGACAGTGAGCTGTCTATGCTGCTGTCCATGGCACAGAGCAACCCGTCGCTGTTCCACATGATTTCAGACCGGATGACGATATCCAGGCAGTTAGACAAACTCAGCAAACTGAAAGATCTAATGGAGACCAGCCAGGAAGAGTTAACAGCCAAACAGAGTGAGGAGTGGACTAGTTGGATCACGCGCTACAGGTGGGACATAGGAAGTAAGACAAGGGGTCTAAGAAGTCTAATCTAAAAACAAATGAAGAAGGTGATGCAGTGGATGGTGCAACAATGGTGATGGGTGGAAGTGGGACTGATAACAAGTGCAGAGTGAAAAAGGAGGAAATGAGACTGGTAGTCTGACTTTGTTCCATTACTGTAACTCTGACTGTTTGGTATTATCACCGACACAGGAAACGTCTGTCTCGAGAGTTGGAGGGTGAGTCTGATGTGAGGGCTGTGCAGGAGGAGCGGCTGAGGGTAATGTACAGCACCAACCCTCGTGTGATACTCAGGAACTACATTGCCCAGAATGCAATAGAAGCCGCTGAGAATGGAGACTTTTCTGAGGTGAGGCTCCAGGCCTGTGAGACTATTAAAGTACTTGATTTTGGTTTGTTTTCTTAGCTGTGGTTTAATGTGACAAATATTTAAACAATATTTACTGGTTAATGTGTCCACACACACACATACTCAATTAAAGGCATTTTCTGTTTCTTGTTGCAGTGTTTTTCACTTTCAGCTCTCACTTCTTCTGTGTACTGCAGGTGCGGCGGGTCCTCCAGGTTTTGGAGAAGCCCTTTTCATCACAGCCAGGCCTAGAGCTTCCTTCCTGGGTGGGCACAGGGGGTACGGCCGAACCAGGGGAAAGGGACGAAGACCAGGAGCAGCAGCAGGAGGCTGCAACTGCGTCGTCATCCTCAGCTAGACATCCTACTCCTTATGACAGCAAACCTCCAGCCTGGGCGCAAGAAATCTGTGTGACATGATCTTCATAATGACTTTCCTGAATCCCAGCTTGCCTGTCCTGAATGAAAACCGAATATTTAGTCTGTTATTGCTTTGATAGATCTGGAGAGACGCATTCTCTCTAATGACTAGAGACAAAGGGACAGGGGATCAGGAAAGTGAACCTAAGGTATGACTGACCACAGTAAGTCCATTTGATACAAAGCAGGCGGGTGCTGAGCTGGCTTTGGTGGTTTCTGTACAAAACATGATACATTTTTGATACAATGTCATTTAGATTTTAAATACCACGTTCCAACGCTCAGCTCCTCCCCTGACTGTTTTGTTGTCAAGTGGATCTGAATGAAGAACCAGGCAACAAGTCCTGTAGTGACCTGTCTGACTCGGATAAACTGTGTGAGGATACCTTCTATATACCAAAACAAATGTAGGTTGTGTCTGGAAGAGCTTGTTTTATTTTGAAAATCTTGAAACAGCTCTTTAAAGCCGCTTAATAGAAACGCACATTGTTTTATTTAATCTCTCGTCACAGGATTGCAATCTTGATTATTTACTTATAAACCGTTTTGTTTAGTCATATATGACTGGGTGTAGGGAGCATTAAGTTTGTTAAGATGTTTAATATTAATGTTGGGTTAGCGAACTTCATTTTGATTTGGTGTAATGGAGGTGTAGCAGATGAAGCTGAGCCTTTCACATTGATGTTGGTTTGAACTCCATTTGAATATTGTTCAGTCATTATAAAAATGAAAATAAAGTCCTTCTACTACAATAAACTAAGCAGTGAATTCACTTTCTGTTCCCAGTGGCACACAGAGAACCACAGTTTTTCTCCAATCCACCTCCACATTGTTGTGTTTCATAACCTTAGTAATGTTGCTTCTCGTTGAAATATACAAATAGACCAAACAATCGTCATGTGTGTGACAGACAGTCATATGGAGGTGAGAATACAGAACATGTCACATTTGTTTATGGTACAACAGTGTGCTTGTTCTATTTCCTGGACTCAGAAATTCCTCGCTCACATTTGCGTGTTTCCTCGGTATGACTCGTGTCCCAGCATGCCCCAGATATTTGCTTACCTTACTCTAATACTGACTGCACGGCCGATAGGGGACACTAGATTACAGTACAGTATGTGTAACCAGGTAAACGTAATGCTGGGGAATTTAAAAAAAAAGTTCAACTCAAAACGTGCGCACCTGCCAACAGGCTTCGGTGCCGTGGCGCGAGCTTGCAGTGTCATGTTGCTC